CTTTGCAAAGAAAGGTCATGTAGAGTTGGGAGAGGTCTCATTTTAATCAGAAATGTGCGGGCTACAATCATGCCTCATTAAGAAAGGTTCGGGTTATTTTTTGGGGTTTCTGAAAAACTGATTTTCTAGAAAACCAGGTCTTCGAAGGCCTAGCAGCAAAAACCATTGTCATATTCGGAATCAGCATAGTCGATAACCTATTCTCCACTAGATTTCGACAAAAAAGCGAGCGGACACTTGGGGCAGTTCTCTATAAATAAATTCCGATAAATGAATGAAGTTGTTCTTCATAAGATAAGTTCTATTTTTTCTACTAAAACTTTTCCTAAAAACTGTTTTTATGCTCTTTCTGACGCATTTCAACCAGAGCAAAAACATTTTTATTGTAATTGATCAGATAATAGGAGTAGTGATTTATTCCAAGTCATCCTTACTCGATCTAGTCTACCTCGCTTGTTGCATGTTCTTTTTTTCAGTCTAGGTTTGGTTTTGGGCGCGATGGCAAGATTAGTATTGAGTTTATCGTTTATTATGTTGTTACGGTTATCTGCTTATTATGCTCAGTGTGATCCCAATATTTGTTCTGTATTAGATTATTATCATTCATTGATATCTCCTTGTTTTAGTGATTCAGATGAAGATCGTTGTAAAACAATTTATGATTGTGCCACTATTGGTAGTGACTTGGCATCATTTTTTATTGTTAACATCACATCCGATGAAAGAAAAGTTATACGTGAATTATTTAAAGTTGAAGATTTATAAAACCAAACAATAAATGAAACATTTAAATTTTATTATTTAAAACAATCAGAACAACGCCGGACGATGATTACGATAACCGTATACTACAGTTTACGATGAATGATACTGCAGTTTACGATAATGAACATTGTAGTATACGTCAAAATACGATGCTATTTACGACGAGATACGACGATATCTACCGTGGAGAAGGATTACGACGTGGTATTTTGTCTGGGACGGATGCGACCGTTTACCATGGGATACGTCAAAATATGACGTTATATACGGTCCTTTTTCGTCGCAAAACATCGTATACTGCTAATTTTCAGCCAGCTTCAACGCACTGGTTCTGCATTTTTCCCGTCACCGTTTTGTTAGCTACGATTGAGTCTACTATGTTTTACTCGGACTTCTCTGCGAGAACATAGTGCAATTAAATTTTAATGCGTTCGTCGAGCAGACAATGCTTTTGTCATGTTATAATCTCTAAAAGGAAAAATCAGTATGAATAGAGAGTCAGGTAGTAAATTCAGAGGATGTACACAGCAAATTCAGCTCTCTGTTCCCTAATCTAAATAGGTGTCATTTTCGCTAGTCACAATGGTATGTTATCGGATTTTTGGACAAGTTTTCTTTTGAGGTACATCTCAGAGATGTAACCGGACCGGGCGCCCGTTCTCGGTCCGGTCGAGACTTATCAACCAGCCAGTTGGACCGGTTCTGGTCAGACTGCTGGACCGGGACCGGTCAAATTGGCTTATAACTAGAAAATATGACAGAAAAAAGCATATTTGTATCGAGCAGAAAATAAAAAACATCGGTCGCTTACTGGTCAAATTTTTTGAAAAATGGCCGGTCCGGTCTGATCTGCATATGTTCGCCGGTCACCAGTCATGATTTTGTTGACCGGTTACAACTCTGGTACATCTCTTTCGCGGATTAGCTAAGTCCGTATATCTCACAAAAAGAATGAAAAACAATTTACCCAAAATGAATGAAGAAAAATTGCAAATACACGACAGTAAAATAGGAATTTTATATATTCCTATTCTCTCACTCATTGCAACTGCTGTGTACTTACTCTGTAAATTGGTTATTTTGTATCATTTAGTTCTACTTTAAAGAGGCTCAAAAAGCAGATATAAACTGCAAAAAGTTCGAGTATAAAAGTAGTGTATTTTAAGAAATAAAAGGTCTTATATAACAGGCACTGTTTTTTATCTCGTTTAAAATGAGAAAGAACCGTTCGTATCGTCAATCATACACGTGGCGAGAGTATATATATACACATTTACAGGAAGCATGTTTGTTCGTTTGAAGAAAAATGTTAGAAAAGGATAGATTACACCAAAGCATAGATTGCTCCACGTGATATAAAGGTATATATATATATATATATATATGTTGAAGGGGAAATTAGAATTTAGGGCAATTTAGAATTCCTCTAGAGGAAATTGGAATTCTAATCTCCCCTAGCGCAAATTAGAATAGTACTTTTTCTCTAACATTTTTCAAGAAAAATGACAGATTCCTAGGGAAATTCTAAATTCTCCTAGAGTGAAACAAATCTACTACT